GGACTCTTTAGTAAACCTGATTCTTATCAAATTTTGGTCTCAAATCTGCTATGGAGATTACAGCAAATTACCTTTTCGTAAAGGAAGACCATAGTAACTTTAATTTAGTATCATTAAAAATTCAATCATAAACCTCAAATGTTCTTAAAACAACGCTGAAAATATAAAACATTCCGGCACTAAATAAAAATTTCACCATAAAGTGATTATTTTCTCAACATTAACTTTAACTTAAGTAATATCCACAGCATCCTAACGCTATTATTTCCGCTGGCTAACGGAAAACAAAATAGACAAGAGTAGGCAAGGAATAAAAGAAAAGCTCAAGTGGGACGAGCATCCGCCAGCAGGCAAGACAAGGGGGAAAGGAGGGAGGGATGGGTTGGGGGGGGCTATAGATGCTTGGCTAAAGGTCTCAAGGGACGACCATCGGTTGGCTGGTCCCTGCTTCGCTTTTGTTTATACGTATTTGAACTCATATGATGTTACTTGAAGTGGTAATTTTTTTGGGGTCTACCACCCACTTTCGGGATCTGTTTTAAAGGGGTTTGTTGTTCTGGTGTTACAGTATATTTAAGGGATACTCGTATTTGTTTGGTATGTACTTAGTTACGTTCTTGGATTAACATTAACGGTAGTCAGTTTAAAAACGAACTGTTATATATTTTATTTTATTTAATCCTTACAGTCATCCATATTTCTCAAAAATATTGTGAACAACAGTATTCAAACATGTTTTCCCTAACATTAAAGTCGATAACAAAAACATGTTTCAAATTATAAGATCGTTACTTGGTCCGGAAGTCTAAAAATTGTACCCTGTTAAAAAACGTTCCAAGTTGAAAGCGAAGCCGACGTTCAGATGTGGGTGTAATAGCTTAATTTGTTGATTTACAACGCTACCTTGTTTGATACGTCCCTTGTTCAAGGGAAGTAGTAAAATAATGGAAGGTATAATATTAGATATTATTGTCGTAAACTTTTAGGATAGTGGTGTTGAAAATAGAATTTGGACTTTGATAATAATAATGGCGGTAATATTAGTAAATGATAAATTTGGATTTTCTGAAGAGCAAGAGTAACATTATGAAGTAGATAACAAAAAAAAAACAATCTCACAGAGATGCAATACAAAAAAAGGACTTGTTGAATTGAAACAATACATAGGACAATAAAGTGTATAGAGTCTCCTCTTGTAAATACGTAACATCAAATAAGCAACGGATGCCCAATCCCAGCGCCACGTGGCCGAACGCCGTCCGATACCAATCACTGCGCTAATTTGAAGAAACCACAGGGTTGCCACTCGAACCGGGCCTCCCACTATTAGCGCCTAGAACGTCAAGTATTGTGTGATTTAATAACAATTCAACTACAGGAGTGGGTGCACCCCTTAATATTTTGACTTTTATGTTCAATGTTCATTGGGTTTGAGTGCCTATTTAGAAGAGAATATTTCTATTTTATAATGGAGAATTGAACCGTAATTTATTGTAAATTAAGTATTTTTAAATTTGATATTTTATTTTAGTTTTAGAACAAGCAATAATCAATAATAGATTGTTGACAAATTTTATGCTTACAATTTAATTTAAACCATTTCAGATATTTCTTAATAATATAAAAATCAATGCAACTCTTCGTTGTAATGTTATAACTCATTAATGCCTTTACCGACTTTGGCCTTGCATTATTCGTGGAAGGTTTGTACGAAGAAGGAAATTAACATCTACGCGGGCGGAGCCACGGGCGACCGCTAGTACATAACATTTATTTCAGGGATACAAATTTAAAATCCATACATTCACGTTCTCAACCACTCAACTAACCAGACAATCATAAAACATGTTCAAATAATTTATATTTATAAAACACGGCTCAAACAAGACAAAGCATGCATCGATTCCATTATGCAAAATGCATAATCACCGTGGACATTAGATAAGATCAGTGCATTCGCAAAACAGCAACTCATGCGCATCGGGAGGATCGTACCCGATAAGGGTACCCTGCAGGGATCGCCTCGTGTAACACTAGCGCCCTCTGGGCAATTTAATTGGTGAACGTCATAATGTTTTACTTATTTGATCTTTGTTAATGTCAGATTCTTTTATGTTTAAAATTTTGATACCTGGCTCAGGGTTTTCTAAATAAAATTAGGTATAGTGAAGTTTGTTTGTATTTGTTTTTAAAGGGTTACATATTTTTATTGAACAGAAAACAAAACTGTTTTTTGAAGTAATAATGTAAAGTGCACCTAGATAGAAATGGAGACAACGAAAAATAAAACATGATCGGATTTTACAAAAGAAAACTAAAATCAAGAAAATTATAACATTGGATACTGACCAGATTGAAACATTGAAAACTTTTCCAGATTTAAAACACTATCAATTTTAAAAATATTTGAAATGTTCATGCATTTTTTATTCTCAGCAATAAATTAGTGATTCATTTTGATATGTCATCGAGTTGCATCGTCTGTACCCTTACTCTTGCACCCTTTAATTTGTGGCAAGCCCTTTTTGTATTGTATTATTCAAATTATCAATACTTTAGGGTCATGGCATAAATAAATTATTAGTTCTTTTTCGTTTCAAAAATGTACAAACACAATAAGAATTAAATTATTTTTAAACTGTTGATGGGCTTTAATACATCAAACCATCAGCACGCCTGCTATCTCTAAAGGGATAGAAGTGTCCCACATGTATTTCGAACAATAATTATATATATATTTATTTGCGACAGAATGTTAAGCTGCCTCATTCCTAGGCCAACTACAATAATAGAGCAAAATGTTCTGTTGCTATAATAATTTTATTAATTTATTTATGAATACTGTAAAACTTTAATAACTTCAATAGAATCGTATGAGTCACCAGGAAAACTACTGAAGACCTAAATCTATTACTCGAATAATCTATCTTGAAATGAGAACATGTCGGCTTGTGACAGTAAATATTATGATTTCACCCAAAGATCTGCATCTCTTACGTCAATGTGACGTCGGTTTCATTATACGGCTTTCTATATATTTCTCACCTAATCTTTTCACATAAAACCATCAGCTCTTAACCCAACCGCCTAAGGGTCAATATCGTAAGTCACATTTTTAAAAACTGGGATTACTATTTTGATATCGGCGCCCACATTATAAATTATGTCATGGTATGTCCGGTCCTCATCTGTGATCTCTTTTGTCCACAATATTCTTCAATTATATTGTTTTTGATCTACGTTTCCAAGCTAATCCACGACTTCCTATTAATCATTAGTCTCGTGAGACTGTGCCATTGGCAATTACTTTATGGGCATCTGTTACTCCATCAACGTGCTCGATAAAATATATTGCCGCCTTTGTTGTATTAGATTTGTTAAAATGTGATTAAACCTCTTGAACATATGAAATGAATTTCAAATATGTTCGCAACGCATAAACACGAATCGTTTGAACTTCTAACAGTGCTACTATTCTTTACATTCTCAGATTCTGTGTCAAGGTACCTCAAACTCTTTGGTTGAAGGGTGACCAATAGAGATTATATCATTAATAATATTTATATGACGAACTGTCCATATTGCGTTTAGCGAAGAAATATAGGAAAAGGAAATCGTTCTTTACATTTAAGTGACAAGGGCACAATAACACAGATTTGTTTTTGCTTCCATTTATATCCATCGCCATCAGTATTGACAGAACATTGGGCGGCGGTTCTCGCCAAATCACACCCACCTATTTCTATTGGCACCGGTTCCATTGTTTCAATCAGTATAATGTTGCCACTCCATCTTAGCTGTTTCACATCCATATAATATTTATGACGAAGCGACCCACCTGTGCCGTGCAACAATAAATTGTGACGCCACAGCTGGTCACCTCAATCAAAAATCGCGTTTTTATATCATCTCCTACATTAATATTGCTATCAAAATGCGGTGAAAATGCCAAAACGACGGTCCGCTGTAAAATATAAGCACCAATTGCTAGGACATCTCCGCAGAGCTATTAAATAAAAGTCTTTTTACATTAGATAAATCGCGTACGTTATTCGGGAACATCTGTCCCTTGCCGATTACGCCCATACATTATGCTCAGTTTGTTGTTTTTAATAAAAAGTTTAATCCGTTCGGTTATGACGGCAATTTGTCAGGCCGATGGAAAAACTTGGTCGATTACCGGTGGCGCTCGATGTATCGCGGTATCGCCGAAGGGACGCCTTTTACACTCAGCCGCTCTTTTTATTCGCACGATTATGTCACGTTTATTTATGCATTCGCTTTTGTCTTCCATTAGCGCTTTTTCTTTTTTATCTCCACCGACAGTGATTCACTTAAATGTATTTCCACTGTCGGGAGCACATTTATATATTTGCAGAAAACTTTTAATATTGCAAATCCTTTTCATATTTTGAGCCGTCGTTCATCCGGAAACTTACATCGTCGAGTTGTTTTGATATCATCACCTTATAACGTCTTACTCTGTACAACCATTAACAATTCAATACTGTCTTAATGAAGAGCTGATAAAATGTATATTGTGTTATTCGTCACGACTCCCAGGCAATTAATTGATGTACTTTTTTTTGGGGATTCGCTTTATGGTCGCCGTGATTTAGTGACCGTCCGGCCAGTTGATTTGTGCACACATTTTAGCTTATTCTTTGTGTTGAGAAGCGCTTAAGTGTGCAATATATTGTGTGTAACAAATATTGCATCCCTCCCGACTCGTTAAGACTGATAGCAGAAAGTTGTGAAGCTTGAAATGTATGGTGCTGCGGCGCGGGGCCTTTTGTTGTTACATATAAAGTTATTTTATTAATAACACTGCACAAACGAAAATAAAGCTTTTATAGTTTGTTTCAAAAGTGATTATTGCATTTATAAAGGCTATAAAGGTGATATTGAAAATGATGTAAAAATTGAATCCATTAATATACCTTTAATTTAAAGTAATGAATGGCTATGACAGATTTCTAAAAATTTGATATTTGTTACAGAATATAGGCAACGTGACTGCTGAACTGGAGTTACAACGGTTACAACAGGAGCAGTTGCGTCGACAGGAGATGGTGCGGCGTGGACAGCATGGAATGTATCCTGGCCCACCGTTGGGACTGCTACCGTTGTTGGAGCAGATGCGGCCCCAGGCGCAGCAACCCAACGTAAGTATCCATTAAACTAAAATTATATATTAAAATAAACAAAATAACAAGATAAAACAGACGTAATGAAGAAAATTAATATGTGATCTGTTACGCTATTTCTTTATTGGCTTGTTGTCTTGCTTTTCTTACTCATTTTCTAGACAATGACTACTTACCAATACTAACACAACTTGTTTCCTCATCCGAGTCTTTTACGGCATCTTTAACTTCATCAACATTTTCCTCAGTAACATTTCTAACACAAACCAATTAAGCAAAATCTTCAATTTCGATTACAATATAGAATCTCACGAAACTCTGGATGGTGCAATCAATTGCCACAATAAATATTACAAGAAGACGTGATGGTAAAACGAAAGTTGTTCTTAAACTAATTACCTACTAGTAACCGGTGTCTGTTATGTAAATTTATAATTAGATGCGTCTAACCCTGTGTTGTTCACATCCAGTTTTTTACTATAAACAACTTCGACATTCAATTTTGACGTAACATCCTCAAACGTTCTATCATTTATAGTTATTGTTTGTTAAGTTTTGCAAGTAACTAGCGATTCTGGTTTTGTTGTGGCATTTATAATAGAAAGTTCATTATTTATTAAAATACCAGCGTCCCGAAGTTGCACTGGCGTCCAAACCTCTTCTAAAATTCTACTTACCTAAACATTTCTTTCATCAGAACATTCTGCTGACTATAATAAATACAACATAAAAATCATTGAATTTTTTGTCTAGGTGTTCTAGAGTTATGCGCTTACCAACACATTTCGTGATTCATTTGTCTATTTATAGATTTATTTGTGTAACAGTGTCGTTAACTATTTTTTACAACTAATAAATTGCAATGTACAATTTTGAGTTGCAATTTACCTATCTTTAGATGCGGTTTATTACATTTTCAAATTCAAATTAATTGCTAGTATTAAGAGAGCTTTATTTATATTTTTTTTATATTTTCTTTCAAGGCGATGCAGCAGCAATGGCCAGCGACGGCTCAACTTGCTCAACTAACAGCGAACACTCGGTCCCCACCACCCCAGGACCCAGATACCCCCTTAAACCTGAGCAAACAACGCTCCCCGTCGCCTGCGCAGCCGATGATGCTACCACGCTTCGTACCCTACCCACCAATGGAAGAATCACAATACAGTATGCCGAAAGAAGAGGAATACAACGCTGCCTGTAACAGTAAGTACCTCCATTACTTATATGCTTGGCTATGGCTTGCTCACTTAACTGTTTGTCGAGTTTATTTGACTAGTTTCATGATAGACCAGAGTCTCTGGCGTAGTGTATAATCTTGATCAGCATGTGCGATACTGCCAAGTAACTTTGTCAAACAGTTATTTGAATAAGCCATATTAAATTATCATTTGTTTTATAAAGTCACTCGCACAACCATCGATGTTGGCTAGAAGATCATATTCAAAAGAAAAAATACGACACTTAAAATAAAATAAAAATAGAAGTGCCGTTATTTTTAAATACTCTATAAGATTTAAATACTTTTTATAGATATGTAGATACATTACACCCTAACTATGATTAAACAGCCGCATCTCATATTTTTGGAACTCGTACGCATTGACGTGCTAATGACGTCACATTATATTATCTGATTCACTAACCTACCTAGATGCGACATCTTGAGTAACTATGTCACAGGAGTACTAATAGCTTTCATGCGCAAACGAAACGTTAAAAAAACTTTACCGTTTACCGTCTATTCTTTCGGACAGAATCTGATGGGAGAAAGATAAAGCAACAATTATATGAATGTTTTTTGGTTACAAGATTGTGTTACCTTTATAAAAATGATAAATATATATAATATTGGAAATATTGAAAGTTTAACAATCAAAATCAGTTAATAGTGCCAGAGGCCCAGTCTTCAAATCCGCTCCCTTCAAATCTCGGCCGGCAACGCTCTTGAACTTCTCTGTTTATGCGCATGTTCATGGGCAGTAGCGATAGCATGCTCATTTGCCATGCAATTCCAAAAAGTATTCCCATAATAAAAAGCAGGCGAAGATCTTCCTTTCTCTCTTGGTATAAGTACCGACGTTTGTCACGTAAATCCGAATTAATTTTAATATCAAACGCCCGACGACTTACGAAACGTTAGGAACAGAAATAAACAAGGAATACTTAGATAAATAGTTAGTAAATGTTAAAATGAAGAAATGTCCCGTGTCGTCGCCAAACATTTTGATGTTACACATTAATTGCTAAATATAATTAATATGTCTTACACCGCAAAACAGTTACACTCCGGTAAATATCGACTGAAATGTGGGGCACACGATTCAACGCGTTTCCCTACTCGAGTTTATTAGTGACAACATTACTAACGTGATTGTTAAAATCCTGTTTTTGATTTAGAAAATCTAATTCTTCTTCATCTTCTTTATCATTATCATCGTTGTCCCAAATCACATCAATAGTTCGGGCTAATCCACTGTTAAACAACGGAACTCCTTCATTTAAATAAAAAGTCTGGACAAAATTTACAAGATTCCTGTAGCTTACTTATACATTAATCTTTCTACCATACTTAATATTATAAACGCAAATACTTGAAAGGACGTTTGTCACTCTTTCGCGTAAAACGAAATTCGACACAGATACCTATAGATTATGTAATAAAATTAGGGGTTTTTTACCCCAGTGCTACTATAGCATAGCGCAGTTATAGATGTCAGTAAAAAGTTACAAATAAAGTTGTGAGACATACATGATCATTATTACATAACCTACGTAAACATATTCCATTATCTACTATCCAAAACGTCACGAGTGGGAAGCGTGTCTTACAAAATTGAGATACACGTAAATTACTTTAGAAATATTAATTATCATCAGTATAATCTGTGACTTCATCTGTAAATCTTACGGTCTCGGGTTTTATGTTACAAAATTTAAAAAGTTTCGTTTTTATTGCTTACCCCGACGGACGATTTGATGACATTCCTCGTTGAGTATAATGGTGGAAGGCATTCCAATTATTTTAAAAGTTACAATGAAAAAATAAAACGTGCAGTAATCGAGTAGCAGATTACTACACAACAATGGACCACGTGCTTTAAGAATATCTTACTCTTTCAAGTGTTATAATCTTCTTTAGGAACTATCTACTTATAATACATTATAACAAATGTTGTATAAAGTTTAATAATTCATACATAGTGTAATATGGTGCATAATAAAACAAATATCTACTTTAAATAGTTGGCGCGAACCCAAACCGAATTGGTTACAAAATCGCGAGTGTCGTTTCGTTTCCTTTAAAACAAGAGAATCGCGTGAAACGTGAAATAGATGGCGCTGGAGACGCAAACTTCCGCTCGGTCCAACGTCCCGCCCGGTGGACACTCGCGCACACAACTCATTGCCCAGCTAATAATTATAACAAAGATGAAAGCTTTATTGGATAACTTGCGAGTTCAAACAGAATTCCAACTGAATTTTATCTATGAATCTTAATTTTATGTTATATAATGAAAGAATTTACAACACTTAATGTCCGCAGATTTTGATCTCCAAGGCCTAGTACATTACATGCAAATGTAAAGTAGATGAGGGTAGTTTAAATTTTCCGGCTTCCCGTAACGTTTTTACAGGCATAAATAATATTCACATACTTTCATGTTACAATAAATATGACAGCTGTAACATTGTATTTTAAGTCGTAACGTCACGCGAATTCCTAGATAAAACACATAATGACTTACACTATAAAACGAAATGGCCTGTAACTGTATCTGAATCACCAACTGTGCTGTACTTGACCTGTCACGCAGAGCTAATTATTACCGTCATTCCAGGCGAACGTCATTAATACTAGTTGTTAGCGTGACAGCCGTGTAACGGAGACAAAAATAAAATACGATTGACGTCATAAGGCGACAAGCGATTTAAAATTTGTTATGACCAAAAAATAAGGGCGTAAAAGTTTTGTACCCGATAGTGTGCTCATAGGCGTACATATTAGAAGTGTATCGTGCGCGTATCAGCCGCGGTAGGATGTTATAAATTATCTAACAGCGCTTCAAATTAATTCGAGGAATGTCCCGCGCTTTGAGTGCGGCATGTTTCCGCGGTGGCTTATTAATCGAGTGGACACTTGGTGGCGAATCCGTCAGCTCAAATGTTAGCCGGACATTTTCCAGGCCGACCCACATAGCCAGACGTGGGGGAGGGAGGGATGCGGTCGCAATAAACGTTTCGGAATTTGATTAGTGCGAAATTTAATGTGCGCGACACTCGTGACGTCAATCACTGTATCTGTGTTTAATTCATCGTTTTACGATTAGAATTGCTTCAAACAGGAGAAAACAGGTGACTTACAATTTAAACTTGATCACAGTTGCAATTTCTTATAGACTGATAAGTGCCACCCACAAGAAAACAGCAATTATTCAATTATAAAGTGCATCGTCTGAGGAATCCTTATGTTCATAAAGAGAGCTACTTTTATCAGCGGGAAAGTTGTATTTTACCCACGCAATTAGGTCAGTGTTGTACCGGAACGCCATAAATATCCAATCAATTGCTTTATTTTATAATTTATTCTAATAGAAAGCTGTCACTTCAAGGTTAAATGAATACAGGTTTAGCATAGGCTGCCAATGCTCCAACGGAAGACATTATCTTTTAATTAATTCAAGGGATCAACAAAGTTGTGCTGAGATCCCTACTACCATCTTATATTATTTATTTATCATCTTACATTTTACCTCATTGTACCATTAGCTCATAACACGCGGTTCACACACTTTTAGTTTTAAGGCCGAAAACCTTTTTTTAAGGATGTTTGATATACCATTGAAGGTACTTGTAAAGATACATTTTTTGCCCTTCCTACCCATATACGAATATAACACGAATTGAAATAACGTACTTAATAACTGACTTTAACAAGCAATTTAAAAATAGAACGCCAAATAGAATTAAAATCGTTAAATGGAAGCGTTTCAAATAGTCACACAATCCCAGTTTAACGATTGTTTTACGGTCGACATCCATCGTTCGCGATAATTTATGGTTCACCTAAGACCGGCTTCCGATCGTATTCTACTGTGACAAACTAAATGTTCGTAACATCTTATTTATTTTTCCATAATTTTAATAGGCGGCGTCATATTTCTCAGGCAGTGTTATTTACATTGACATACTCTATACCTTAAACAGTTTTATTAAAGTTGTAAATATATTAAGACTATCTAACAAAAGATCTTTTACGCATTCTCATGAAATAATTTCTAATTCCAGCTTCATCGTGGAGCCAATCACCTTCGGAAGACGCAGAAAAAGCGAAGCTGGTTCGCCAACCGCGCAGAGACGAAACGGGCAAGCCTCACATCAAACGACCAATGAACGCGTTTATGGTGTGGGCTAAGGATGAGCGCAGGAAGATCCTCAAAGCATGTCCTGACATGCACAACTCTAACATATCCAAGATTCTAGGCGCTAGATGGAAGGCGATGTCTAATGCTGAGAAGCAACCTTATTATGAAGAGCAGTCGAGATTGTCCAAACTGCATATGGAGAAGCACCCTGACTATAGGTGAGTGAGAACGATAGATAAATACTTTTAAGGTGGGCAGATACTGATGGACTCTATGGGGTATTATGTTCCTTAACTACAATCATTCGTACAGCCAGTGCGGAAAAAATGAGCTTACATCGAAACACGAGCAACTCAAATATAGAACTTGAAAGATCGCAGTTCTTTTTTTAAAAGTCTATTCTCAAAACTTCCCAGCTTCCTATTCTGAAAGGAAACGTATACTTAATAATATAATTCTGAACGCCGCCGGTTTCCATCATTTTGGCCATATATAATATTAAATAACTTGACATTTAACCTTTCTTTTCTCATTTCAAGGTACCGACCGAGACCAAAAAGGACATGCATAGTCGACGGCAAGAAAATGAGGATATCTGAGTACAAGAATCTGATGCGTAGTCGCCGGCAGGAGATGAGGCAGCTGTGGTGTCGCGACGGAGGGAGTGAGCTGGGCTTCTTACCTCCTGCGCTTGCCTCTCCTGGACCTTCCAATTCCTCGCCACCCCCCAACGGAGGCAACTACATGAACCCTGGGTTCTCTCCACCACTATCGCCCAGGGAGGATGATTGAGGTACGGCGCGCGGCTGGCCATACCCGCACGCCGCGCCCCTGTCCTTACCCCCATCTCACCACCCCTGGTAAAAACGCGGACAGTTCTGGGACTCTAGAACATTCTGGATTACATTCACACAAAGACTTGGAGCACGAATCTCAAGTGTTGCCCTTAACCCCTGCCCCTCATACCGTGACTGTAAATAATGAAGGGTAAGCGCATAGACGGTAGCTATTATAATAATCTGTGAGTTTTTGCCAGTGTCTCAAATTGGATCTCTCGTTTACAAAATACTGATTATTAATAATGAGATTATTCCATTAGTGAATTAAGAAATTTCTAACTTTGGACACTTTTCGCCCGTATAAGTACTTGATGTGTGCTAGCACGGTGATTTTTTTCAGTGAAAAACTATATTAATTCGTTCTTAATATGGTTTCAATGTGTCATATAAACATTATTATGTATCTAATATGTATTGTAGTAAAATGTCACAAATTTATTCTTAATTCATAAGAATTATGCGGGTGTATTGGTTCTCCTGTTATGTAAATAGAGCCCTTTTTAGGTACGACCTATATCAATGTTTGGACTAGAATCGTAGCGTATCGTAATTTTTGGCACAAATTGGTTAATCAGTTCTATTAAAGGAAATGTGCCAACACTTGTATTAAAACCAACACAGCTAATTAGAACAAGATAATGTATATATCTAAGTACACAAATAAGTACCTAAATCATTTTGAATCAATGTATTGAAGTATGTAGTTGTAGTTTGAAGCCGACGTTTTCACGTGGTTTAAGCGCATTCTCTGTAAATAGGTAAAATTCCCTTTTGTAGATAGATTACGTTTAAGTTGTATTGGAATGTTCGGCTGAAGGTTTAGTGTAAGGTTCAGAGATTAGTTGTTAACGTTAGCAGTAATGTACTTTGAATCTATACTATCGCGTGGCCATGTATAAACTTAGTGCGAAGTTTGTATCGTAGCTTTACAAATTAAGCAATTAAAATGTATCAAACCAAAAATTTGAAGCGGATTGCTTGAAAATTTAAGTGTTTTGAACACGGGAACTGTTTTTATTTAAATTCAGTGAGATCTTTATGCATAATGGTTATGATTAAAATACTCATAGACTTATCTAGATGAGATTGGTAATAGACCGTTCTATAATAAGCTGTTTTATCACGAACATACGTAAAGGAAACTATGTTAAAAAATATCGACATAGCCAATAAAAAAGGTGTTTCAATATCATATTTATGTAAATGAAAATTCAAGACGAAATGGTTTAAGATGATACTGTCAAAATTGGCGCCATTACAACAGATAAAAAATCTTTTGTTCCTGACAGTATTTGTTTAAAAAAAATCGATTGGTCAATTGTGAAATTGTCAATTTGTTATTACATAAAGACATTTCCTTTTATTGATTTTTTGACCCACCGACATAAACGTGGGATTATTTTGGGCTTACATCACTTAAATTAAAAAAATATAGGTAATAAAGAACATGCTAAATTTATCAAAATTAAAAAGGTTATTTAACTGCTATATTTGTAGCTACCTAATTTATATAATTAGTTAAATCTAAATTTTATTTAACAATTGCAAGTAGACGTTACTTTCTTAGACAACTTATGAAATAATGGTATTAGTCAAATCTTAATGCTTATTAAGGACTTTTCAGTGATGTAACGCCCTGGTACTATTATTAATATAAACAAATATTCGCTTTATCGAATCGTGCAATTTATTAAGTAGATAATAGTAAATAAGCTATAGTAACGCATAATATTATCTACATTTTTATATAGCTCTTAGTCAACAAACTTGTATAAACACTTATTTCGATAAACCTCCTTTAAAAAATTGTTCGATGACGTTAGCTGTCATTAGTTTTTTTTTTTAATTTTGTTATTTATTTTTTTATTTATATAGAACTTGTTTTGTTTTTCTTCTATTTTCTTAAAATACAAGCTGTATGCCAGTAATTGACGTGACGTAGCGTTAGTATGAATAAATAAAAGTTATTGTGTATGTGAATCTTAATGTTTATAAGTAGTGTGTATTCATAGTAAATGTGTAAGGTTTTAGAACAGTGCCGTTAAATTATTTATTTTTTATGTTGAACTCATGTAAATACGCGTATATTTTGATGTAAACGTTAGTAATTGTGGTTATTTAATGAACGATACTTAATTTTGGTGTCTAATTTGTATGAGTTAGGATCTCGAGCGAGTTTCAATTAATTTATTGTAACAGATGTTAAAACCCACATCTTGCCATACTTCGTAAAGTAGGTACATGTAAGTACTGTGGAGTAGTATCGAAAAATCACAACTTATATTTTACGTACTTAAAAACAAACTGTTGTTATGTTGAATAGTTTTTTTTTTCAAACTATTTTCACATTGATTTGTTGATATTTCCATTTACCTAGTATGCCGTTTTACTAAGCATTGAAAATGTTTCAAATGTGTAAGTAGGTAGATTTTAGGTTTTATTACCTAGTGTAAACCAGGACACATTGTTTAAAATTGTGCCAAAACCCAAAAGTATATTAAAAAATAAATAATAAAAATAACGTATTTTGTTTTATTTACTTTGCCCTGAATTTGAGAAGTAACTTTTTGCGATATAATATCAAATAACTTTTACTTGGTATTGCTATTGCTTTTAATAGGATTGGGCCACCGGTAACCGCACTCAAAAGAAGAAACACGCCGTGGTTGTTTCACGCCATTCTGTGATGCCGTGGTATCACTCCGGTCGTGCCGGCAGATTCGCACAGAGAAAGGCCCTCCCACACTACTTAAACTGTTCCTTTTTACTTAACGACTTTGTTCCAAAAACAATAGTTAATGGACTGGGACAGTAAGTCACGCAGACAACACTAGGTATATGCTTACAATCTCCATACTTTTTTTTCTTAATTAGTTGGTAATGTTTAATTAATAACAATTAAAGCTACAAAATCATATAGAAAAAAGAATAAATGAAGCATCCACGACATCTTAAGCTGTGAACGGACCCTAAAAATCGGAACATCGTTCATTTAGAATTTTCACCACTCTTCACTTAGTAGGTAAGTACTTATCGTCAGTATCAATAAAAATAAATAAACATTGGGCTGAATTATGTATTTTATTAAGAATATAGTTAGATACATAATCCTCAATAGATACATTCAGATTTCAAAATACATCAAGTACCAGAATAAAACAGTTATGATATGAATACACTTTTGCATATATAAAAATATTCTTCATAAAAGTTATGTACATTAAATATTACAATAGTTACATACATTGTAAAGCATTCTACATTTTGCTAAATTCATTTCTACTGTCTACAAATGGTCTTAAATATTTTGAAATGGCAATAAAGACAAATTTATTTATAACACCCACACAGTGACTGTCAAATGGACTAAAAGACAATATCTCAAAAATAAAAACAATATCCAAGCTTGCCAAGCAGATTGAAGATTTTAAAAATAAAAAGTTATTTATTTGGGAGCAGTTCTGCCTTTTTAATGGAGGAAAAAACCATCAAATCACATCTCTCGCCCAATGTATGGCGGGAGTCTCAGACGCTTACTGACTAAAAACAAGCCCGTTCCTTCTCCTGCTTCCGGCCGAAGACACGGTACCTTATTGCGCTTAGTGCGCGGTCAACGGTACTGCCTGGTTTTTGTCAAACGTGAATTCCACGTTTGACAAAAACCTTATCCAACGATTATGTCACCTTCTGGAGGTTATATACAGGTGCAACAGCAATGCGGCTAATAATGCCCGACTCGTAGCAGAAATAATGGTGTTTTTAATTCATGAAAGAGCTTGAAACTCCCTACTGACAAAGTAAAAAGATGGTTTTCTACTTTAAAACAAAATTCTACAATAGTTGTGACCGTAAAAAGCGCGACTGCACGGTTAGCATAGTGGCTGGGCAACTGCCTGCTGTGCGACGCGGGTTTGATGCCCGCACGGAACGACACTCCGAGTTGTTGTTTAAAAACTTACTCACGACACAGGAAAAAAGCCTAGTATGGGGCAACGTGTTCTTTTAAGAAGAAATCTGGGGTCACGGTAATGTCACAGCCAAATCTCGAGCACGTTCTCTTTAGCCCTCTCCAATCGATAAAGACACGTTAGCCATTCAATCGGACAGTTTACAGAACAACTATTACTTTTAAACCAGCCGACAGATGTCTATGGACTCGGAATACCAAAGTAATTACAATTACGGCCATTGGATGTTTGAAAAAAAGGTGTGTTTTATGTTATAGTGTCATATAAGCCTATTACCGATAGTTATACTCTTTGGCATATTGCCACAGACTGGGCACAATTCCAGCCACTACAATATAACTAAACATTTTTTACAATTATTTAATTCTTTAACAGCCAACAAAATCTTTTGCGTTCAATGTGTGTTAATTTAATTGTAAAATATAATGAATTTAGCAAAATGGAGACACTAAAGTCGAATTGCTAAAGTGTTACTCAATTTTTATGAGCTACCATTTTTGTACTCTTTAGATGGCGTTTTGGTAGCGTAGGTAGGTAGATATGTGATTGCCCATTCACATGTATTGTATTTATCAAAAATAAATTGTCTTTTGGTTTGGTTTGTCAAAATATAACTCGGAACTTGGCTGGAGCACTGCCGTGACCCCAGACCTTAACACTTCGAGACAACGCCATCTAGTGAGCATAAATCGAAAAGCCTCGTTTAATTTCTTTTTTGAAAACAGAATAATTTTACAGTCATTTTGATACAATCACATACAGTGAGTAACATTTTAGTATTTCGGTAAAGGATCTAAAAACATTAAGTACATAATTACAGCAGTGTACAAGCTAGGTATATTTTTGGTATTACTACGATTTACACCTTAAATTTAAGTGAGATTTTAATATCAACGTTATTCAGAGTAATTTAGAATTTAATTTCTATTGTCAAGACGATAGTTATGGCTGAGTCTAAAACAACTGGTGTTGAACAGCGTTCAAGGTAGGTAAGTTATCGTAATGTTGATATTAAGCGACTCAGTGAAAAGCAGCGTGTTGATTGGACATTTTTTTAATACCATCATGCAATTGGTTGACATTGTAATCCAACTAACGTAGGTATCGAGTTTTATTATGATCATCGTGTGATTATTAGTGGTGAACTTTAATTTTAGAAGTTTTACACCCGGTTTCTGAAAGGCTTGTTAAGGCTAAAAAAAAATCTCTTGTCAAGTCATCTGATTGGTTGTTGATAATTCAGTAAACCAATCAGATGACTTGACAAGAGAATAAATTGATTTTAACATTGATCGGCCTTTAGGAAACCGGGCGTTAATGTTTTATTACGTCGCAATAGGTTAGGGTCGCCACTGTTTTAAGTTCTTGGAATAATAATATTGTACCTAAATAAAATCAACAAAGAAGCATAATATCATGAGAAAAGAAACATCAAAATCAAATAATTTAAATAAAAACAATTTATTTATGCAGTCGAAAAAAAAAACAAGAAAAAGACGATACCTAAAATATCATAACAACACTTAAGGATTCACTGATTACATATACACAAACATATTTAACAAAACAAAATGATAGAATCGAGACGTTTGATCGAGAACTAACAAAAAAGTGTGTGTGGGTAGCCTTATTTTTGACATAGTTTTTTTTTACTTGAAATTTTCAGTCACGCAGTGGATGCGGTATTGATAACACCCTTAAAATGTTAATTATTGATGATTTTGACAAAAAAACTTTGAAATTGATATTCATAGCTCAACTAGATTGCATAAACGCCAGTTGAAAAAAAAATAGGAAAGTTTAAAACAACGGATTTTTTTTTTTTTTGTTAACAATAAAGTTCCTACTACCAACAAGTAGTACTTTACGTTTATCAAGTTTAGTGCAGCCATTCAATAGTTATGCGCGTAACACATTTTGGAGATTCATTTTTTTATTGATTTTCTGTAGAAACACAAATACTAACGCTGTTACTAAAACAGATATAAATATCATTTTTTTGCAGATTTTTACAGATAATAAATTGTACGGAAGCCTTGCGTTTTTACTACCTATTTCTAACTATAGAATCATAAATTTATAAATCGTAATATAAATATTTTTCTTGTGTTTCATAATATATCTTGGTGGCATTTTCGAAATAAGTTTTCCGTTTCTGTCTCTATTCTCTACATCCATAAACTCAATTAATGACGTTGACATTTCATCAAATGTCAATGTCAATTTCAATTTGATTCTGTTGACATGATTATAATTATAACTCCAATGAGCAAACTCTGTATCATTATGTGAGTATACATAATTTGATTATCAGTTTCTATACAAAATATGATACATATAAAGAATAGGTATCTAAAACATGAAACACACAATATGTAATAAGGAACGAGTTTACAGAACATTCACTTTTGAATTCATAGTTTTGCAAAAAACAAAAAGCACGTATAAATTAAAACGATAAACATTTGCAATATAATTAAAAAAAAGCAAACGAAGTAATATCAATTAAACTATTTTTACGTGGAAAAATGTTTGCTACAAGTTATCATAGTGCGATACTTAGTAAATTAAGGTGTTAGAAAATAATTATTGCTCAATAGAGATCATATTGATTTGATTTATTGTTTTAATGCTTCACATAACTGCTGTTACTCTTTGAAGATGATCTTAATGCAGAAAACGTCGTTCAGAATAGCATAAAATCATAGATTTTTCTTGAACAGCTATCATATCAAACTACCTCAACTTTTTTTTATTAAATTAAATACCCAAATTGTTTAGCGCAGTGGCTACCTCACTGGTGCGCGATGTACCACAATGCTTATTTGTAAGCAACTACATATTTTTAGGTATCCATTAAATAATTTTGCCTGGTCTGGGTGTGATGTATGATAAAAAAATACATATAAGTGAATTTTTAAGTTTAACAACACATCTACAATGGCTATTACAAAAGAATGATCCTAAGGCAATACATTTATAGATATACTTTTCATTGTTGTCATAAAGTTGAAAGTCGCTCAAAAAAGTAGGATCGCTTGATATACCAGTGTCTGTCTATGTACCTCTAATAATATTATGACTTTACGTTGACAATATTCATGCTAACAGGCTGCACAAAAACACATCGAAAATATACGAAAACAAATATAGATAGCTACGAAAAAACCGCAACAAAGCAGAAAACAATATAACAAAATAAGTTATTATTATTATTATTGTGCTAACAAGTCACATATACAATAAACTCACTTGAGAGGCGAACACGAAGGGCATAATTTAATTTTATTCAACTCTAAACACGCACCATGAAAAGTGTGGCCACACTTAAAAACCCACAGTCCGCCATCTTTGATTAGTACAGTATTTTTCAGTGGCAACCCACATAACACGCAGTCTGTTATATTATTATTTATAAATGATAAATTGTCTAGTATACTTGTTATAGAAGCGTCTAATATATATTCTTGTTTATCTCCTTGGTCTTCGGAAGGTATTTTCGCAGTGAGAGGCCTTAGACCCCAATGTTTCGATTTCGCTGCAGCAATTATTGGCAGTGCCGTGTTCTTGGGTTTACCATTTAATGTACTGCGCAATAGTCTGCAGATCTGAAAACGATTAAATTAAAATTAAATATTTATTTGATTATTATTAGAAGATATGTGATAGTCAATTTCGTTAGTAAATAATGGCATATGATAGCGGTTCATATGTACACAAATTAATGACCATAACTGTAGGTATCTGTCACTCTCATATATATATTTTATATAATCCTTACGATGGACATCCGTCCATGGGCCGCGGTGATTGCTTACTATCAGGTAATCCGTCTGCTCGTTTGGCGACATAATTTATCATGAAAAAAAATTAAACCTTACAAAACAAAACATAATATATAAATATATAATAATAACACCTACATGTAACATATACGAGCACGGAATACCACGAATACACCAAAGTAAACAACGTTTCTATTTAGCGTATTCATTATAATAATGTATGTATGTCTTTACCAATCACAGGACCACATGGTCCTGGTCATTTGGAAGGCGTACGAGGGGCCGGAGCCAACTGCGCAAAGGCCCTTTAGACAACTTTTATCTAAATGATTAATGAAATGGCACACAATCTAAATGAAATGGTTGAAATGGCACACAATTCGTTGTTATTTTTATTATAACAAAGTTTCCTTTAAGCACTTGACTGCCGACAAAAACTGTTGAAGGCTAATCCTCCGCTAGCGTCGGACAGCATTGTCCGAAACGGCGTTTTAAGTGTTAAGTATAAAATAAATATTCGGCCCATTCATCCGGGACTTAACACATTCAGTGCCCCCGACGCGTATGTGCGTGCGAGGAAACGCACATACGCGTCGGGGGCACTGAATGTGTTAAGTACCAGAGCGAAACTAGTAAAAAAATAATATCTACAGCTCACCTCTATTCTCGAATCTTCAAAATTGTAACAGCTATACAGACTATCAGTCAACTGGCCAGTGATAGTAGCGTCGTATCTCTCATACATGGTCACCATGAGACATGTGTGATAAAACTTCACAGTAATAGCTCCCTCATCTATCAAACTTGCGTATTTCTCCATAACTTTAATAGCATTTCTACCCCCAATAGACTTGATCATCAGTGCTCCTAAGTCATCCCAACTCAAAGTGTCTTTGACAATAATATGGTCAAACTTTTTCGCACAGTTCAAACACATGTTAGCGTGTAGCGTAGCGTATAACTGTACGGTTCGCTCCCAAGTATCCAAAGTGAACTGAGGCAAAAATGAATGCAGTAATGTCTCGTCCAACATTTGCAACAATATCCTCAATATATTCAACAAGTCCTCGTTCCTCCGCAAATATAGAATCTTCCTCCATAAATAAGGCATTCGTTTACAAACATCGTAGCATTGACTTCTAGTTTGATTTGACCACTGCTTCTCTATAAACTCGTCAATTAACTCTGAGAACATCGGCGTTTGGTGCGTTCTAGAGTACGGCAAGGGGAACCCACAATCACAACCAATATTCGACAATTTTTGACTCTTCATATTCACAGATATACATGAATCTACAAAGTATTTGTACAATACTTCATCTTTGATTATTGTGTCCAACAATTCGTCTTTCTTCTCAGATTCATTCAGGTAACTAAGGAAAATATTATTAGGTACAAATTTAGATTCGTCGAAAGCTCCAATATGAATACAATAACTTTCTAATTGTAACATAAGACTGTAGATCTGACTAATATCACAGGCATAATTTTCAATAGTAGCAACTAAATTCGATCGATCCTTTTCCTTACCAACTACGCTTAATTTATAATATTGATACAAACTTTTGTTCACTTTATCCCTTTCTAAACTGTTATTATCTATTTCTATGGCCTTTTGACTAGATTCTTTGTAGATGATATCGTTATCATATACAACTGGAGTTTGTTCTATAGTTTCATCTGCATCAATTGTTTTAACTACAGTCTCTTCTTCTTGGGTCTCTTGCTTTTCTATAACTGGAACTTCTTTCACTTCATTGTGTTTATCAACACTTAGATGTTTCATTTTGCCTTCGAAATCCTCCCATTTTTCTTTCAGTATCTTTTTGCTGCTATTTAATTTATCCGACACACTCAAACTCAGATCTTTTAACGTTTGCATTGCTTCTGGAGGCAATGAGGTAAATTTGAAGTCATCGTTTAGTTTTGTGTCACTTTCTAATAACGACGACTGAGCATGATAAGTATTGTCCACGATATATATCCCTGATTTCAATTGTGTAGCATCATTGGATTTTAGCCCTTCAAACTTATCTAACACATCCTTAATGCTATCCAATAACTCTTTATTCTCTAATTTATCTTTCAAACTCACTAAGATATGCATCTTCTGTGACAAATTACTTTCCAATAAATAATTTCTATACAAGGCACACAGTTCTGCACACAACACGTATTTCTCATCTACATAACACTTTACTAAGAATTTGTCCACTTTCAAGTACTTCAGGTTTACTAGAGAGCCGTTCGATAGCCAAACATATATCATGTCATGGTACACTTTACAGTCAACAATATCTTTGTAATCATCGAACCAAATTGTATGGTCAACATCATAGATATTTAAGAAATACAAAGCATTCCTTCTATACGAAAATATGGCACCATTAGTTGAAAAAATATTGGGAAAGTTTACTGATTGTCCTTCAGTGTTGGTTTCAGTAGCATCCAAACTAACTTTTTCGTTTTGATATGATTCATTGGACACAAGTTTCATAGCTTTCTTCCCCAGTACTTGTTTGAATTGGTGAGTTCTGATAACAGTGCCATCAATCGTGGCCTCCCATACTCTAGAAGATGGTCTAGCGCAGAAAATTAACGTGTTCTCAAGATCTTTGCCTACAGCAAACCCTGAATCGTCATTAACTATGTTATATTTTCTGACTTCGGTAAAATCTTGTGTGGTTTTAGCTACGTGTTGTTCGTTATTAGTTTTTTTATCTACGAAACATGCTCCGTACTCGCCATCGCGGAGTTTCTGACCTATCTGTCGGTACTGCTCTCGCGAAGTGTCACAAACGTAGCATCTTGTTAAAGTGGACACGAGTAGCATACATGACTTCATATCTAATTGGCAGATACGAGAATCGAGACTCATTATTGTCAGTGACGAGCTCTGAAACATTGTTTTCGCCTGAAAAGAATATGGTATGGTATCAAAATAAGGTATTATAAAGATAAAACATAAAATAACGACACAAAATACAATTGCCGACATAGCTTTGATGGTCGAATCACAAGAGCAATTAATTCTGAATAAGGGATTTTTTTGGAGTTCTATAATATATTTTTTTTAGAAAAATAACGTAAATTTCATCACACTAGTATTTTCTAATGTGTAGTGGGTGCGTTTACAAACATAGAAATTCACATACACCTGTTTCGTGCGGGATTCGAACCCGCGACCAGTCCAGTCACTGCGTTAACCGAGTGTTTGAAATCGATTCTTAGATCAGGCAAAGCGATATTTTATTAGGAATATATTTTATCAGTGAAAATTAAGCTTAGAAAGTAATAGGCAATAGGGTCAAACATGGTGATGAAGTGTGTTGCATAGTGTAATGACTCTGCCTTCTCATTAGTAGGTTAAAAGAAGTTTTACGTGTTTATAATTGTTAAAGTAATTAAAGGTAAAAATGCAAACACGCCACTTGCAAATTACCTGACGATAAAACTTAACGATCATTTAAACCAATAAAACTGTTGTTTAAGGTAAAATCGTCCTTGAAAACATATTTACAATGTTCATAAAAGAAAGACAAATAAGTGAGTTTATTAACTCAACGGAAACTGGTGTATTATCGCTTTGTTTTCACGTCTGCACGAATTCTATTGTCATGTAAATTAATATCACGAAACATCATGTTGTTTATTCCATCAAATATATCAATATCCGTGTTGCATATCAATATCTATTGAAATTCTATATTATTTTGATTGGTACTTTTGCGTCTGTTTGTAGTCTACGCTGCGATGAACTGACGCAGTAAACCAACTTTAAAAAAACAATGCCCACACTAGGATTTTCTCCTGTGTTGTAAGTGCATTTAAAAACACATTACACCCAGACCCGGAACAATACAGTAACATTATTTTGATACTTCACCAATTCGGGAATGAAAGCCTAAGAAATCTAACCCAAGACCTCTTGTATGATATTACCAGTCTTATGTCTCTGTAGATTATCTCATAAATATAATAACAAGTATTATGCTGACCTTTAAGGGTAGGAGGTTAAGAGGATGAATCGAGAAACATATAAAGGCACAGGGAAAAATAAAATAAGGAATCCAAACAAGAGCAATAAAATGATCTGCATAAATTTGGCACATATTATTCACATGAATAAATATTCAAAATTAACTTACAATAAAATTCTGTGGCTGCAACACTGATATTTTACCAACATCATCTCCCATAAACAGCATATGATTGGTACTCCATATCATGGCCGTGATCTCATTTCCTTGATGCTCTTTCGACACAACGGTGGAGTGACCACCGCTGAGTGATTGGTTACATTCTGTGACTGTTGCCAAGCCACGGCCATTGGCAAAACCAATTTGTTTCTCGTCCTTTGATATTGCCAAACGTGTGATAGCTCCATCCTGAAATATAAATATAATTCAATGATAACAGTGCTTAATAATTATTCATTATAAATATTGATGTTATCAGACACAACAAGTAAGTCTATACAATAAAAATAAAAATTAATATAAAACAAAAATGAATAAATAAAATAAACAGTGACATATTATTTAGTCTGTGAAATATTAACATTACTTAACATAAAACATGTCACAAATGTTCAACATATTTAAAACATTTGCATGTCTTAATAGAGTAAATCACCATGTAAGCAAGGTTTCCGGGGAACTCTCTCCTACCCTTCCCAATCCTAAAATTATTATGATGAAGGGATGTCCCTTCCTAATCCTAAAATCTCCATAACAGTAATTCCCAAAAGGCAGCAAAATGCATGTAACTCATCTTGTGTTACAGGTGAACATGGGTGGCACAGATTGCTTACCATCAAGTAATCCATAAGCTTATTAACCAAGCTAACAAATAACAAATAAAGTTAATAAATTAGTCTTTTACCTTATTTGGTATCAATTGTACAAATTCACACGGTGTCCGGTTAAATACATAGATGCCTCCACTGGTAGCACCAAATGCTATCAATGATTTTGAAATGTCAAAACAGGTGTACTGGAAATGAAAATACATTATATTTAAAACAGTAGCGTTGATAGTGATAGTACGACTTAGATACGCAAATCAATCATTTATAGTCTATAACACTAAGGAACATTGTAACTATCTATCAGTGAAAGAAATTTGGAAATCTGACCAGCAGTTCCAAAAATTACCTCCTAGTTACAAAATTTAAAATTTTACCTCTTTTTTATAATAGTATACATCAAAGAACCTATAATACACATATTATATTTTTTTGTAATAAGAAAACTATAAACACATAATATATTAAGGTTATAAAAAAGATCTATCTTTATCATAACTTACTGAAAAGTGCACAGCAATTGTATTCAGAAGTTTTCAGTATAGGTATGAACAGAAACAGACATACAAAAATTCTTAATGTGAATGTTTTGGCTTATGTTGTTCTAATAAAGAAACTTCATTTTAGTTCTTTAAATTATCTTAAACGAGTAGAAATTGGTCTGTGACAATTAAATTATACATAGTTATTATTATAGATTACTAATTATTTTATTTCAATTATGATGATTGAGTTTAGTATGAGTACAATGTACTTTATTTTGTTTTTGTTTCTAGTTTTGAGTAGGTAATTGTAACTTATGGATACATTAGACTCTGAGTGCTTGTCTTAAATAACATTGCTATGTAACAGATTTGAATATAGAATAGAATATGTATGTATCTATTGATCTAGTTCTACTACTAGTATATAGACGACTTAAAGTTGTGAAATCGGCCCTTAGAAAGATTTTCTAAAAACAATTCTTTTTGAAGCGATGGTAGCTAACCATACAATAAGAAAGAAAGAAAAGACCAAATATTTTGTTTCCTATACCAGTAACCAATTAAGAAACATTGAATTTTTCTAACTCTATGGTTGATATGAAAATATACATTGTTAACATTATCACAACTGACCCAAGACATACAACAATTAGATATCCAAAATGTGAATTTGAATTTGTAATGAGATATTTTTATAGATGAATAAGTGAAATCAATGGCCAAAACCACTTAAGTTTTTCATATATTATCTGTGTAGCCATTTATAGATACCCACATATATCAACCACTATTTCTAAATATTAATTCTTAAATTTTTCTAAATATTAGGCAAGTACTTAGTTATTTCATAAGAATACATTAAACTAAGGACACATTTTAAAACTAATATTAACGTTTTGTGAAACTAAATTAATTAAGAATACTTCGGTAAATTATTGTGTAGGTACCAAACTGTGTATAAATTAGGATCCTATTGATACTGTAAGACATTAAGCCAAATTATTTTGAACAAAGGCCAGAAACTAAAATATTCTCACTAACCTTAATCCGTTGAACATTTTGTATCGGGTAATTTATATTTCCTGTGATATCTGGTAGCTCTTGTAGTAAGTACGGTGGCAAATCGGAACAAGACATGTTTAATTGATCATTTTTTAATTTATATTGAATGTTTTCATCACCTTCTTTTCTCTTGTGTGAGGCAGCATAACAAGTGTCAGTGTCAAATTATGAATTTGTCATGTCAAGCAGTTGTCACTCGGTCCCGTCATTATCAATTTTGTGTGTTGCCAAGTTTCATGTTTACATATAATACTAAAAGTGGTATAATTTTAAATCACGAACATAACTTTTAAATAGTTTTTGCATGTGTAGCATATAGGACGTTTCCAGCTTTTATTCATTTAGGGTGATTTCTTTTCATTAAGAAATAAAAGGGATTTTTTAATTATAATCAATTTATTTTTTAATCTTACACAACTACTAGTGGCCTGTCAGCTCGCACTAGTAGTCGGGGAACCCATGATGCCAAAGGATACCATGCCCTTATTAACATGAAGTCAAAAGTCAGCAACACCATACAATGCCCAAATTGCAGTTCTATGTCATACAATAGCTTTATAGCCCTATTTTGTATGATATCTAGATTTTATTTACATTAAGCACGATATCTTCCCACTAGTTTTTTTATAAAATGTATATTTTATCGTTTATAGACAACATTGCTATTCCTTTTTCACTAGGAACTTTATGATGATCATAAATTTATGACTTAAAATGTATGTTATCAGATAAACATGTCAGTTATTTAGAATTATCTAGTATTCTGGCTCCATAAGTGTCAATATTTATCTGAAATAATATTATGGAAAGAGACTGTAGCCGCACCTCACGACTACATACCTACCAATACCATATTCAAAACCATGTACCAATTTACCTTATATATTTACCTTACCGATACCATCGAATACCTTACCATACCTCAAAACCAGATACCATATACCTTCCACATACAAACGTTTTTAGACTTTCCGTTATCAACAGAAACATGATAACAATTGTCTTGAAAAAGACAGTTTTAAACGTTTTTGACTGTGTTAACATGAAACGATAAATATTGTCTTGAAAAAGACAGTAAACGTTTTAGACTCTGCCAGAAACAATTATTTCGGCCCGGCGTAATACGCCGTGCCGAGCGTAGTCGCTTCGAAAGAAGCGGTTTGTTATTAGCAAGCATCGCTAGCGGAGCCGGAGGCGGAGCACCTGCACCCGCCGCGTCTTCAATGTTCACACGTACTGCACTCGACGATGGCGCGCGGCGAAATGGAAATGTCGCGCTCTCGGCGCGCGACCCTATTTATACGCAAACGAGAGATCGCGCCCCGCGCGGCCCGCGCTCCCCGGCGCGTCGCCATTGGTCAACACATACCTAACGGCGCGCGATATGGTTTTGATGTACATTTGTAAATATAGATATAAGTAGCAACAATTAGCGAAATAAATCATTCCGAAACACGCATCTCAACGAGTATCATTTACAAGAAGAACCTTCTCGTAGGACAACTAGGCTCTCCTACCTAGTTCCTACAGTGGTGACCCCGACGTGATTATCGACGCCATCCTGCCGACGGATCCCTGCAAGAATCGCCTTGTACCTTATCAAGCTCGTCGTAATGTCGGTCGAAAAAATGCCGGAACTTTCCAGCGTTTCGACGTCGCTGCGCATCCCACCCATATGGCGCGACAAGATACGCCTATGGTTTGCTCAGTTTGAAGCAATAATGTCGCCACAGAAGAAGGGCGACCAAGCCATGTTCGAGCTTGTCGTCGGCCACCTGGAACGACAAGACCTCGACGAAATCAGCGACATTATTCTTCACCCACCCGAGAGAGAACGCTACGAAGCTCTGAAAAACAGGCTACTCCAGGTCTACGAAGAATCAGAGCAACGTCAAGTACAACGGCTTCTCTCAGAGATGGAGCTAGGCGACCTAAAACCATCACAGTTACTTCGCCGAATGAAAAATCTCGCCGCGGATAACATATCTGACGCTGCACTTCGCATCATGTGGACTAATCACCTGCCACAGTCAGTGCGTGCAGTCCTCGCTGTCAGCGATAACATCGCGAAGTACTCAGATATCCACGATCTGGCGATGATGGCAGACAAGATCCTCGAACAGACGCAACCCCATGGCACAGTCGCTGCTGTCACTGAAAACCCGACATTCCCCCGTGTACATGCAAGTATCGAAGACAAGATCGATATGCTGACGAGGGAAATCGCTGAACTTAAAGCAGCGCAGTCAAGTCAGCGTTGCAACCATCAATCACGACGACCCCAAAGGTCACGATCGTCGAGCCGATATCGTCCCCACCCCAGACAGCGTGATAACACTCCACGCCGCACAGAATCTGGTATCTGTTATTACCATCGCAAGTTCGGGAAGGAGGCTCAGCGATGCACACGACCATGCAATTTCCAGAACAAAAGCCCCCACCCGGAAAACTAACAGCTGCGTTGGATGAGGCGGGAACCGGCGCAACAACTACGTCATACCGCCTATTTATAACAGACAGAAACTCACGTCTGTCATTTTTAATTGATACTGGCGCTAACGTCTCCGTCATTCCTAGACGAAAGGGCGTGAAGGTAACCCCAACCGACTTTTGTTTGTACGCTGCAAACAACACAGTTATCCCCACCTACGGTGAGAAGACACTCCAGCTAGACCTAAACCTACGACGACCATACAGTTGGAAGTTCATCGTTGCTGAAGTCAGTAAGCCAATCATCGGCGCCGACTTCCTACGCCACCACCAACTACTCGTCGACATAGCCGGTCGATGTCTTATCGACAAAGTCACCAACCTCACCGTCCAAGCCCCAATCTCATATTCCACCGAGCCAACTGTAAGGAGCATAGACGTCGAACAGCCGTATCATCAAATACTTAGTCAATATCCAGACATCCTACGACCATCATGCATGAAGACCACTCCGAAGCACCGCGTGGAACATCACATTGAAACTACCGGTCCACCTGTACATAGTAAAACGCGGCCACTACCTCCACACAGATACCTAGCCGTGAAGAAAGAATTTGAAATTATGATGCAACAGGGATTATGCCGTCCAAGCAAAAGTCCCTGGTCCAGCCCACTACACGTCGTACCAAAGAAGAATGGTGACATACGTGTATGCGGTGATTACCGACGACTTAATGACGTCACTAAGCCCGACCGCTATCCAGTACCTCGCCTTAAAGATTTTACATACCTACTCCACGGCAAGAAGATTTTTACCACTCTCGATTTGAATCGTGCATACCAACAGTTTACCTGTCTACGAACCTGACATAGAGAAAACAGCCATCACAACCCCGTTTGGTTTGTTTGAGTTTCCCCGAATGTGCCCCGGTTTAAAAAACGCGGGACAAACATTCCAACGCTTCATACACCAAGTACTAAACAATTTAGAGTTCGCATTTCCGTTTATTGATGACGTAATCATCGCATCAGAGAACAAAGCACGTCACATCGAAGACCTACAAGAAGTGCTTCGAAGATTAAATGATTACGGTATCACCATCAACCCATCTAAATGTGTCTTCGGCCAAGAAAACGTAAAGTTCCTGGGATATCAAGTGTCGAGCGAAGGAATCAAACCTCCACTTGAAAAGGTCAGCGCTATCTCTGCTTACCCCAAACCGGAAACAATAGCGGACCTACGTCGTTTTCTTGGCATGGTGAACTTTTACCGTGACAGCATACATAACGCAGCCCATTTACAAGCACCGCTAAACGCCTTTCTACATAACTCAAAGAAACGCGACAAAACCAAAATCGAATGGAATAACGAAGCACTACAAGCATTCGAGTTGTGTAAAGCTAGCATTCAAAACGCAGCTTTACTCGCTCACCCATCCCCGTCACCAACTCAACCTATTTCACTCATGTGTGACGCTTCAAACACCTGTGCAGGAGCTGTCCTACAACAATACATTAACAACAAGTGGGTTCCCCTTGGCTACTTTTCAAAGAAATTCTCTGAAGCTCAACAACGATATAGTACGTTTGACCGCGAATTATTATCCATATACATGGCGATCAAACACTTCAGAAAAATGTTCGAAGGAAGAGAACTCATTGTATACACGGATCACAAGCCGCTCACCTATGCAATACGTAAGCCGCCGTCGGACAACGACACACAACGACGCACTCGTCAGCTATTATTCATTAGTGAGTTTACAACCGACCTACGTCACGTGAGCGGCGCGAACAACATAGTCGCCGACGCACTATCACGCGTCGAAACTATCGACTTGCCATCCCCAATTAACTACGACGAACTATCCCAAGCACAAGAAAAGGACAGCAATATTCACAACTTAATAAAACAAACAAACATTCAACTTAAGAAAATATCCATACCTACTTCAAACAAGTTTATTTACTGCGAAGTATCGACGCCTCACGTTCGCCCGTACTTACCGATTGACTATCGTCGCATCGCATTCAACGCTGTGCACAATACAAGTCATCCTGGCATACGTACTACACGCAAGCTAATGCAACAACGATACTTCTGGCCGTCTATGAATACCGACATTGGCGAGTGGGCAAAGACATGCATCGAGTGTCAACAATCAAAGGTACATCGACATACGCACAGTGACGTCACATCATTCCCACCTAGCGAGCGATTTGAACACATACACATTGATATCGTTGGACCGCTGCCTACATCCTCGAGCGGACATCGATACCTACTCACTATGATCGACCGCTGCACCCGCTGGGCTGAAGCCGTTCCCCTGCGAGAGATATCAGCCGAAGTCGTCGCAAGAAAGCTGTACGAAGCATGGATAACGCGTTTTGGTTGTCCTATCAAAATTACAACCGATCAAGGACGACAGTTTGAGAGCAGCTTATTTAAAAATCTCGCTCAGCTACTGGGAGTGGAACGAACTCGTACTACTGCCTACCACCCGCAGAGTAACGGGATCGTAGAACGCTGGCATCGTACATTAAAAGCCGCGCTCATGACTCGACTAGCCGACAACAACAAATGGTTGATCGAGTTACCTACCGTGCTACTAGGACTACGAGCCGCCACGCGCACCGACACTAACGCTAGCGCCGCACAACTTACCTACGGACAAGCAATACGATTGCCAGGCGATTTTATATCGCCGTCGCCTACCAACACGAAGATGG